CCCCCCCCAACCGGTCTGGGGGCCATTTATTTCCTTTTTTCCGCCGCCCTTGGCCGCGGCCCATTGTTGTGGCCGAGGCTTTTGGGGGGCGGGTGGGAGGGCTTGTTTTTCCCCTTCACCTTCCTTCTTTTTTTCCTTCCCCCCAACCACCCAAGTCCAAGTTTCAGACGCAGCGGCAGGAGTGGGGTTGGGGTTTCTCACAGACTGCTTTGCGGTCTAGGTCCGGTCCAGGGGGAGGGCCCTTCTATCACCACAGGTGCACGAGACAACTCGCACCTGCTCGTTGCCCCGCGCACCTGTATCTTCTTTCATCTTCTTATTCTTTTTCATTTTTTTTCTTTCCCGACTCATCCCCGCCAGGCCGACTCGCGCCAGCGGGAACCGAGGGAGGAGAGAAAGTCTCGGGGCTGGAGTTGGGCCCCGGCGTCCTGTGTCCCTCCCTGGCAAACTCGACTTCCCCTTTCGCGCATTCTGGGGCCTTCCGATCTCGAGTAGGGATCCGTCCCTCCCTGCGCGGAGGGCGCAACATGCCCATGACCTCTAGCATCCGGGGAATCAAGGTCCCGCACAGAACGCCCCCACACCGGACCCACGGAAGTGGCTCCTTCGCCCCTCTCTACGGTTGCCGTTCGGTCCGGTCGCCCCCCTGGCGGTCCGAACCCATCCTCCTTTCTTCGCCGACTTTTTCAAGTCGGCGGGCTTCTGGAGCGGCCGTGGCATCGCTGGTTGGGACCTAATTGTCCCGCCACTACTCCCAACCGGCGCCCCAGGCGCATCCTTCCCCTGGGAACGAGGTGCCTCACCGGAGGAGGAGGCTAAATATTCCGCGTTCTTTCACGCTTTGACGGAGGGCAGGACCATTAGAGGAAGAGTGTCCCCTCCAGGTCCCTTTCACCTCCTTCCTGCATCTTTCGGCCTCCTCTCTCTCCGCCTCTGTGAGTGGAGGGGGCTCTCTTGTCCCCCCCGTCTCCCCCCCCATGGGCTCATCGCCTGAAAAGGCGGAAATAACTGGTCTGGCCGTTGCCCCCTGCTTTTCTTTTCTTCGTCTCTCGCCGGAGCATGGGAATTTGAGGAAGATCATTCACCTCCCCCCGGCCTCTTTCTTTTTTGCTCCAGCGAGGAGTCCCTCATTTCCAAGGGGGGACCGGGCGATCTGTCCCCCTTCAGTTCCTCCTGCAGGCACCTTTGTTGGTGTTTTAACAGGGCGTTAAGACACCAACAAAGTTCTTATCTCTGAGACGCCCTATCTTGACAGCCAACGTCGCTCGCTCTCTCCTGGATTCCTCGCTGGAGGGAGGGCTGCCGATATTGTCAACCTTCCTCACCAGCGTGGGGCTGCAGACCGTTAGCTTGGCCGCAGCCCCCCACAGTGCGCCGCGGAAGATCCCCTTGAGGTTACCAGAATTTTCCGCGACTTTCTTGACCTCGTCTATGGCTCTAAGGGCCACAGACGAGATCTCCGCAGTCTGGCTGTTTTCCAGGCCTTGGGTGAACTTTCGCTCTTCTTCCTCGGCCCTGAAAGCCAGGGCGCTGGACGGCTTAACTGAGGGATCACGGACTTTGTCACCCTTTGTCAGCGCGTCCTACTCTTCATTCTGCCTGACCTTATGGGCATGGGCGCCCGCCATTCCCAGATGGGTGGAGTGGTTCGGCTGTCATCCTTCCGGGGAAATCTTTGTATTAGGGGGACGGGAGTCCCGGCCGCCGCCGTCGTTGCGGACCGCTCCGCCTCCGACGCGATCGACCACTCGTCCCCACCCCCAATCTCCCCGGACAGGTCCATGCTCTCCGCACCGTCTCCACTGTCTCAGCCTCGGTCGGCTCCACTACACTGGAGTCAGACCGGGCCAGCAGACGGCTCACTCAGTCAAGTGTAGTGACCGGGTAATTGGGGGTGGCGGCGGCATTGTACCGCTGGCCCTCTCGGAGGAGCCGGCAGTGGATCGCAGTCTCTCCCGGTGTCCCTTACCTTCCTCTCCCGCGCTAAGGTTGCCCAAGCTCGACCGGGAGCGAGTATTCGCTCCCAACCCGCGGCACTCCTTGACGCTGCGAGGACACGCAGAGGAGGAGGCAGCCCTGGGCGGCCCGACTCCTCTCCCAGTACTCTCGCTTTCCGAGACCGTATCGATTCCCTCGTGAGGGCGGTTGGTAACCGGCACGCCGCCATCCCTCCTAGCCTCTTCTGAGATTGTAGGCGACACTGCTGCCTCTGTTAGGACCAACAATGACGTGTTGGCCCCTGAGACCACGGGTGTTGGTACGGTCTCCACTGTCCGCGTGGGTGGCGGACGTAAAGAATACCTCCAACGTATGGCTTGCGTGTCGTAAAAGGCAACTAAAAGGCCATCATAGGTGGGTTGCTGCGCCCATGAGTATTAGGGGCCGGAGGGCGCCCCTCCTTCTCATTTCAGAGAGGAAGTGGCCCCCAAAGGCGCCTACAGCTGGGAAGCGTACCGGATCCGTTATGCCAGTATGATACCGGTCTCTCGGGTGGGCAGTAGCGCCCGAGAGTATTAGAGGGAGGCAAGCGCGCCCGGTTGTTCTTAGGGCAGCTGGTGCGGGCGAACCGATCTCACCGCGGGGGCTATCGGGTCCCTAATGCCTGCATGGCAACCGGCCTCCCGGGTGGGCAGCTGCGCCCGGAAGTAGCAAGATCCTTGGTGAATGTTTCACCGGGGATCCACAGCGGAGGCAGGGCGGGCTCCTTAGTTTCTGTTGAGCCAAACCGCCCTAGGGGGCGGCTCGAAAAGCTGCCCGGGTTAGGGGGCCGCCGTCATGCTCCCCATTAAAAACTGATGATGAGCTCAACAAAAGAAAAGACTTCCGGCAGGTCGGATGCGTCGGGCCGGCATGGGGGGGGTTGTGGCCAGCCCCCCCCCCTTGTCATCAACGGACGACGGGCCAGACGTGGGCAAGGCTGCCGGGATGTCGACGGCGGGCACCCCGGTAGTTAATACTACCGCCGAGGGTTGGGGGGGAGACAAGGAAAACGGAAAGAAGAGTGAGATAGGAATGGGAAAAGAAGGAAGTTGGAGATGGAAGAGGAGAAGATCGGGACAGAGACTGAGGATGAATACACGGAGGGAGAGGCGGAGATGAAGATGAAAGAGGTAGAGACCTGCGTGTGAGAAAAGGGATAAGAACAAAAAATTTGTTTTACAGCGGATGAATTGGATAAGGGAATGTGCCGGATATTTGAAAGAAGAATGGGAGAGAAGTAAGAGGATGAGCCGAGCAGAGAAAGAGAGAATGGCGATCAGAAAGAATGAGATGATGAAGTATAGTGAGGACATCGCCAAGGTATACAAAATGAGAACGGAACACCTGGAGGAGATATTAAAAAAGAAGGATATGGTTATGGAAGAGGAACGGAAGAGAATGGGGATGGACATGGAAGAGTTAAGGAAAAGCGTGGAAAGGAACGGAAGATGAAGGAAGGATTGGGAAAAATATTTAGGGATGAGGAGGAAATGATGAGAATGGAAAGGAAAAAGTGGGAATGAGAAAGAACAGCTTGGGAAAAAGAAAGAGAAGAATTAATGGAAATGGAGAATGAGCTGTATGGTACACCGGGGCACATCCCCTGTAAGAATGGACAGAGCGGATCGGGCCGTGTCTCCCTTTCCGGAGGCGCGGTCCGATACCAGGGATAAGGCGACGTCCCCGATGGGGGAGGGGGCACTAGCTGCCGGGGCTTGGGTGGAGAGAAAGGAACGGCTGTCGGTCCTGCGGAGGGTGGGGGATGGACAGCTGTGAGAGGGGGAAGAACGGAAAGGACGGGAAGAAAGAGGAGGAAAAGAGAGAGTGGGGAGGTAGGGGAGGAGAAGGCGCCGCCGCCGCGAGCGACCGGTCCTGGGTTGTC